CAGTGCAACTCTGTGAGTCACACACATGGCTTGGCTTTGCAAAAGCCATATAAAGGGAACTTTCCCTTTAAAAGGCTTTTGCAAAGACAAGCTGCATGCAAGGAACCCAGAAGTGGCGTGAACCCTGGAACCCTGGAAGGTGGGTGAACTCGCACTGCTTCAACAAGTGAAACTGAGCCCAAATAAAAGTCAAATAATATCAGCTTTTATTTGGGCTCAGCTACAGAGTCTGATTCGGCTGGATAAATACCCGAAAAATACCGATAAGGGTTCGGTATATACCAAGTGCACACCCATAGTCTGAAACCCTAATTAGAAGTTGATGCATTAACCACAGTCAATGGCTTTATGTGAACATGAACATCGTAGCCAAATCCTCACTTGGTTCCTGAGCACAGTGCAGGCCATGATACCAGATGGGTCTCTGCAGGGTGGGAGGATCCAGCATCGGTAAAGACAAACAAGACTTTGAACGATGGCCTCCATACTGAATCCTGGTTTCACAAACTCACTTCATAATAAATCAGGGCTAGGTTTTAGGTTTTAATAACTCTAAATAAGATAATTGAGAGCCTGTTCCTTTATCCCTGGTGAACTGAACGTCAGATGACTGAGAAAAAGCAGAGCCAATGTGGGATTATGTCTTTAGTCCACACACTTGTCCTCCCCCCCCCCCACCCCGGACTGCAGTGTGGTCACAGAGGTTCCCTTGTCTCCCCCAAGTGTGTACTATATTATCAGGGATGGCCATACAGCTGGTGATGTCCTTCACTGGCTGCAAGGTTAAACAAGCACATAACTGGAGGGAAAAGTTGCTGCTGCAGAAAGAACAATCCTTATCTCTACTCAACAGTTTTCTCTGCTTTCCTGGCCAACAAAAGGTCCAGGAGAAGACAGACATGAGGAAGGCTCAAAAGCTGCCACAAGAAAACCTGTGTGCTGGGATGGAGACTGGTGGAACTGTGAATGTCAAGTAGCTGTTGGTAAAGAGTTAAAAAACAAACAAAACAGAGAACCTTGCAAGACTCAAGCAATGGTGTCCTTCCAATTGTAAAGCATCAGTAACAGCTAGCCATGCATCCCAGGGGAACACAACCCCTTTCCAATCACCTACTCTGCCAGGGCTAACTGCATATTACATGAGGGCATTTGCAACGAAGTCTGTGCACACAAATGCACACTCATCTTTAAAAAAAAAAAAGCTTTGGGGAGGGGGAAATTTGGAACAGAGAAGTTTTAGACGAGGGTTTTCTTAACCCATCCTGACTTCTTTGTTTCAAATCACCAAGCTTCAACCCACTCCGCCCTGCATGTTCTTGCAAATGCCCATTGGGAGCTTTGCATAGCAGAAGAAGAGACTGGGGGGTGTTTAAGCACCAATCCCCCACAATTTCTTCACCTTCCCCTTCCACGAAGCTGCTTTCCTCTTTACAAAAAAAAAGAGCAGAGCCAGGACTCTGTTGTAGACAATGGTGTGTGACATTAGCGCCCTGGAGGAGCCAAGATTCTCAGTGTGGGGCAGACCTCTCCAAAAGGGCAACCAGATGAAGAGGCAGTCAGGATGCCTGTACTTTTAACTGTTGTTGATTCAACAGGGGCAGCTCCCCTGCCAAAATTCCTACACAACCCTTAAAGGAGCAGGCGTGGAATTCACAATGTAAGACTTCGTTAGGGCGTCAGATGCTGCATGGTCCGATTCTTTCACGCTGCATCTGAATAGAACTGAGGTATAAGTCTGGATGCAGTTGACCTTGAACCCTGAGATCCTTTGATCTGAGTGAAGAAAGGGAAACTCAGCATATTACGAGCCCTGTGGCAAAGCTGGGTTTGAAACCAAGTGGGCACTATCTAAAAAATCCAGTCTTATCAGGGGAAGGGGCTGCTATGCCCTGCATTAACTACGCACTCCTCCCTCCCCAGTGGCCACCAGTCATTTTCCATTTGCCTCTCACTCCCTATACCTCAGCTATCACCCCCATAGCATTTCTTGCAGAAATTTCCAAATTCTGTTTTAGAAAACTCTTAGAATAAGGCCATGCAAATGGAGCCTTTCAATTCAAAACGGGAACATGTACGCATGCTGCAACTGAACTGCACAAAGCATTTCGAGGTTTCTTGGTGTAAAATGTGATGCTAGTAGGGTTGACAACCTCCAGGTGGCAGCTGGAGAACTCTTGGGATTTCGACTGGTCTCCAGGCGACATAGATCAGGTCACCTGAAAAAAATGGCCAGCCTGGAAAGTGGACTCTGTGGCATATTACCCCATTGCAGTCCCTCCCGCCCCCAAACACCACCATTACCAGGCTCCACCCCCCAAACAGCCAGGTATTTCCCAAACCAGAGCTGGCAACCCTAGGTGCAAGACAGAAACGGTCCCTGGCCACAGGATAGGGGACATGCCCAGAAATAGCCCCTTACAAACATTTTCACAAGCCAGTGTAGAAGATCTGCTTCCCTGCCAGTTTTCAACGGCTCTTACTTGTACAGCAGTACTTCCAACATTTACAACTGCACACGTCAGTTACAGTTCCTGGGTGCTTTCTGCATGTGTATTTTGCTTCCCACCTCACTGAGTTATAGATGGCGTAATCTTCTGCATGAAGAGACAATGTAATTCTCACATACAGTTTTGCTTAGAGTTGAACTGCATCATGTGCTTTGTAGTTGGTAAAGCTAACATGTGTATGCAGCCTTTAAACTACAAAACTCATGACACAGCTTGACTGCCAGCCAAGGGCAAAAAACACACCAAACATTTCCATAGTAAATATTTGTACCAGTGGATATGACTGAAGCAATGCAAGTCTCAGTCGACCCACTATCAGTTCCACAGTGCAACTTGAGGTTAGCAGAGCTTCCCCGTTTTGCCTCAATGTCTACTCTAAGTGGAATTCAGCAGAAGCCCTAAAGAAGAACCAAAACTGTTCCTTTGAAAAGTGCACCAAGGGAATCCACTCAGCAGCAT